ATACATTTCAATTAAATCTTAAATCCTTTCATCCTAATTGTATATTTCACCTTTTATTTTGTAATGTTTCAATGTATATTCTAAAATCATCTGAAGCTTTAATATAATTTTGAAATTTTATTCCATTTATATAAAGAAATTACCAGATTTCTATTGCTGATTTTCTAAATTATCAATTACCTTTTTGCCAAGTTATTTTAATTTGAATAGAAATGGCTTTTCAGGATAGATTTTTTTTTTCCCCCCAGAAGTATAACATTAAAAAAAAAAAAAAAGAATCTTATTGCAATTAGATTTTTCCAGGATTAACTAGGGTTTTGAAATGTAAACCTTGCCTTTAAAAAAAATCATTAGAAAGCTAGTGTTTACTTAAGTGAATGAATCAAAATAGTTTTAAATTTATTCACTTTTAAATATTTTCAAGATACTCTTATTGAATTGTTTTGAAATTAGGAGTTCGAAAGGTTTTTTTCTTTGATATTTTTATTAAATTCTTAAAATTAAGTCATTCTTAATTTCAATGATCTGAAATGTACCTTTAGATTTATATTCAATATGAATTTGTATGCATTTTTAATGTGTACAGATATCTTTATAATAGTGAGTAGGGAAAAATTGTTTTTTCTGTGAATATTTTGAGCTTGAATGCATTTTAAATTCATGTAATTTTCAGGGTAATTTAGCTGATTTACTTTTTACAAAGTGATTCACAAGAAATGTTAAAAAGTAGATTGCAAGATTTTAATTATTGCAGAAACAAATTGTTTTCTCGCCTTTTTATTCCTTTATTATTGAGAGAATAATTTAACATGGGAGGGGAAAAAGTTTAAACAACTGAATAGGATGTCTATATATAAATTAAGAAAATTGCCAAATTATATACTTCAGAACTAATTTGCTATTGTTTTACACATTTGACCTATATATATTATATAATCAAAATGCTGTAAAAATGGTCTTTTCAATTAATTTATTACCATTGATAACAATATTACTTCATTTCTATTTTCTTTTATACATAACTATATAAGACACATAGGCATATGTTATCTAAAGAATTTTAAATACAAGAACTTCTGTTTGACAAGTTAAATTTAGTTATTCTATTATCAATAAAAGATTAAGAATGAAATAATTTTGTATATAAACTAAATCATTTTTAATTATAAACTCCATGTAAGAATTTGTTTCAAACATATTTATTAAAATATTTGTATGAATCTAATTAGTAAATAAAGAATAGAAGCTTCTTGTATTAAAGACAACCTGTTCGATTACATCTATATCTTTAAGTTTGCTGTTGAATTATAGCTTAAGATACTTTTAACTTGTAAGTAAAATTTTAAAAGTATGTTATGGTGGTTAATTTTTTTCTACATTAACATAAAATAATGACACAAACATTTAAAACTTTTAATTCATTTAATTGTTTTATGCAATAAAAATACTCCAGATAAATTAAAATGTTTGAACTTTTGAATTTGTATTATTTATATATCCATTTTCTTTATTCTATCTAATAAAATCATTTTTAAATTTAAGTATTTTGAATTTTAAGATATTGCAAGAAAAATAAATTTTAAAGGATAACATTGAAACATATTAATAAATTTTATATAAATCATAAGCAAAATAAATTATGAAATATTTGAGACATTTGTATCTATTGTTTTTAATTAGAATTAAAAAAAATTACCTTGTATTAAATTATTTCAGATCAATAATATTAAAAAAAATTTCTTTATACCTTTTTCCTTTCTAGCCCTGGGAGCAGCTTATGGAACAGCTAAATCTGGTGTTGGTATCAGTTGTATGTCAATCATGAGGCCAGAATTGATTATGAAATCAATTATTCCTGTTGTCATGAGTGGTATCATTGCCATTTATGGTTTAGTTGTTGCTGTCTTAATTGCAAACGGCATTAACAAACCATCTACATACTCTCCTTTTAGGTATGTTTATTTTTGATATATATTTACGATTTCTGTCAGTCTTAAGCAATTTAAAATGTATTCGATGAACAGCTTGAATAGGAAGCAAATGTATAATTTAAAACATATACTTCCCACCCCAAGTAAAGCAGAATATTAAAAGGGGGTTTTCTTGTAGTCTTTCATTATTGAATAAAACAGTTTAATTGCTTGATAATTAAAATTTAATTGTAAAAGTTTCCTTTAAAACTATTGGTAGGAATATCCATAAGTAATCCGGCTGCCAAGTACTGGTTTTTGGTGCCAAATTGATGACAAATAGTAACTTTTAAATTGCAAACAAATAAATAGTTGTAACTTTAAAATCATCACTAATATTTAAACCTTGTTTACTTCCTACTTGCGATTCAATATGTCATACAAGTCAACAAAACAGTCTGAAAATAAAATTATAAAAAGTGTTTAAATTTGTTTGTTAAATTAGTTAATAAAAAGGGATTACTGAATTAAACTAAATATCAATAGTAAAAAAATAAATAAAAAGAGCTACTTCTGAAATTTAGAGCAAAACTTATATTTGTATTTAAATACAATTTAGAGCATTTGTAAAATATGTTCACATTATTATTCATTTATTTCAAAGTTTTTATCACTTTTTGGTGATCGCTAATTTGGCCCCCCACAAATCGGTACTTGAGGGGTCTGGACGTGCTGTGGATTCTCCTCTAACCAGAAAATTAAATGCTATAATTGTCCTTTAAATTAGTACTGAAAACTGAGTACATTAAGTTCTAAAAATTTGTTTTTGATTTATTTGCCCATAACGTGTTAAAGTATGCACTATGTTCTGTAATCAGAATGCATCCATATTTTCTTTTCAGTGGATTTATGCATTTTGGTGCTGGCCTTTCGGTTGGTTTGAGTGGTCTTGCTGCAGGTTGTGCCATTGGTATTGTGGGAGATGCTGGTGTCAGGGGAACAGCACAACAGCCAAGACTATTCGTTGGCATGATCTTGATTCTCATTTTTGCTGAAGTACTTGGTTTGTACGGCCTGATTGTAGCCCTTATACTTACTACTAAGGTTTAATTTGTTGCATAAGTGTATATGGGCAGATTCTTTAGCCAAACAGTGGTTATCTATATTGACTGCACATGAGTTTCAGCTGAAGAAGATATTCTTGGTGTCTGAATCTTCCCATTTTCTTTTCCTTATAATTTTGCAAGGGTGCCATATCTCTTATGTTAGTAATTGTCTTAATTTAAAATATTTTTGTTTTGCAAGTGGTCAATATTCGAACTAAGAAATTTTATTTTAAATATTTTATTGGTACATTTTTAATTTATTTAAAAGCTTTATTCTAAACATGGAAAAAAAAAATTGTCTTGTATCATGTAGTTATTAGAAATACTGTCTTTAAGAGATTGGCACCCTTGCTTTATTGTTGTCTCTCATAGATCATACAGATTAATTATTTTTTCTGCCTTCAAGAAATTACCTCGGATTTCTTTCAACCCCAATTTATTAAATGTGATGTTGTAATGTGGCTTAAAATTATGGTAAAGAGTGTCTTTGCACATTCTAAATGTTCAGAGTGATTGTCCTTTAAGTTATATTGCATGTAATAGAAAAAATGAATGGAAATATTTTTTTCTGAAGTGGTGTTAATAATTGGAGATAAATCCGCATATCATCGAATTTTGTTTGCTTTATATAGCCTTAATTTTATTTGTATATAAGTCATAATTTTTCCCAATCAAACCTATTTTATCTACAAATGTATTTTTAGATTTTTATTTTAATATTTTAATATAATCAATTGAATTCTGTGATTTTATTTTATAAAATAGAGCTTTAGACTATTTAAAAATTCTTTCAAATCATAAAGAATGAAGATTTTATATTTATCAAGCATATTCAATTTGACATTGTTAATTAAATTAATTTTTTTTTTTTCTTTAAATTTTCTTTTTCTTGTGTGTGGCTGCTATTGCCAAAGACATTTGTTAAACAGATTTTAACTTCTTGAATGGTTGTTATAGATTTGTGTATATAAGTATTTATTTTATTTTCTCTAAAGTTGACTAAAAAGAAAAATATTTAGTTTATGTATTTCACTCTAAATGTTTGTACCTAATTTTTATGAATTTATATTAATTTTTAAAGTGTTAATTATATTTTGCTTTTGTGATCTTTTTGAGACATACATTCCATGTGTGTGTAAACTTTATTAAAATTGAGTATTTGAAAAAAATTGTGCTTATTTATTAAAATATCAATATTAGTTATAGTTGTTCCTTTTTAGGTATACTACTATAATAATTTCATGTGTGTGAATGTTTTGAAAAAAAATTTAATGTGTGTAAACCATCTATGTAATGTAATCTTAAACACAAATGTTCATTTCTTCTCTGCAAAATGTTTAATCTGTGTCCTTAAAGTATAATAGTTAAATGAAGGTAGTTGATATATATAACTAGAAAATGAAATCTACATTTATAGGCTATAGTTATCATATAAAAATCTCATTGTTATACTAATTTAGGTGTATAGATGTTTCCTAATCATGATGGTGGAAGCATATCCTGCAAATGTAAAATGTTTAATTCTAATTTATGTTGTTCATTCAACATTTTGCAAATAAAGGATCATGAATTTATGTGTTGTTACTTCAGAAAAACCTCATTTCCATTAATAATATATGGTACATTATGGATGTCAAAGTTCCATTGTAGAATGTTAAGCATTATACACTTGTGTAAATAAAAAATGAACAAACTGCCAATTGATGTTTTTCTTAGTTAAAAATTTTCAACAAATATAAAACTAATTTATTCAACTATAAATTAGCAGTTTTTCATGTAAATCTTAAGTTTTTACATGTATATCTTCATTTATTTTTAATTCCTAGACATTTGTGAAATATAAATCCTTGTAATTAAACCTTGATCTCATTTATGGATATTATTTGTATAATCCAAATCTAAAAAAAAAAAAACCCATTAAAAATTTTCTAGTGCTTTTAAAGATGAATGCATACATATTTAAAGACTACAAACTTGGATGGCAACGGCCGTACCATGCTGAATATAAACCGGTTCTCGTTAGATCACCGAAGTTAAGCATCATAGGGCGGTCAGTACTTGGGTGGGTGACCACCTGAGAACACTGCGTTGCCGTTGGCAAATTTGGGACCTGAATGGCCAAGTGTCTGGCGCTCGGTGCCACAGGTTTCGGGTTCGAATCACGGCGGTGCCATGGATGTTTGTAGTGGTTCGGAATCCACTTTAAGCCGTAGGTCCCGGTCTTCTATGACTGTAAGAGCGTCACGGAGCAAAAGTCAGGCTTCTACCTACGGGTGCTCCATCACAACAGAAGCTGCTTCCTTCCCCTTCAATCATGAGTCCATATGGGCTCGTGGGCTTGGCCAGCCAAGTGGGATAAGAAACAACAACAAACTTTATTAGAAATTTTAATGTTTTAAATATAAACATCTTAAGCATTGTTATCTGTCTATAGTTACTAGCATATTTTATAGTCTTTCCTTTGTGCATATTGGAAAATATTTTTGTTGGGTTAGTCTACATTGTGTATAATTTAACATTACTTTATTGTGACAGTCTGTTCATAACATTTTAACTCCTCCAATTGGATTTATTGTTATTGGTACTAAATTGATTTTTTTTAACTTAATTTTTTTTTTTTTTTTTTTAACTTGTTCCTGGATAGTTTGATCTCGGGAAATGCCAAGCAAAAATCTAATTATTTGCAGATTACTGAACATCAAAAATTGAATGGTTTTTAGCATATTTATTTTCAAGCATAAAATATTTAGGTTTTCAGTTCAGTCAATATTCTGTGGTTATTCAATTCTATTTCTCGAGAGTGCAAGTTAAAATAAATCTAGTATTCTGAAGACCAATAACCAGTTTCCTAAAGACTGATAATTACTTGTACATTCCAAGGGGTAATTAATGGCAAACTAATGTAAAACCTCTAAGAAAATTACTTTTCATAGCTTATAGAATTGAACTTCTGGTCTAAGAAAATAAAAACTAAGTTTATTTACACTTACAAAAAGACGACAATAGTAATGAATCATTTTAAAGAACTTTTCACTACTTAGTAAAAAAATATATAGTGTCTTGTGATAAAAATAGAGCTTGAAGACAAGTACACTATTCTTTACTTGCCAAATCTGGGTGCTAATGCTTTGTAACTACAGAATCTTGTTGAATTAATATTTTAATATGGTCATTAGCTGTAACTTCCAAATGTCACAAGCAAGAGTATTCTTTAAACTTGATGAATAGGGTAGAAAAGCTTTAGAGCAGGGCTATCTTTTTTATTGTTGAGCTTCATGGCATGGGTCAACAAGAAATCAATCTTATTTAAGTAAAATTTTTTAAAATTCTATTCATATAAAATTTATATTTAAATGCCAATCTAGTTTATTTCTTTCTTTAAAATTCTTTAGCTTGGAAAATGCATGAAAAGAAGTTATTTTGTGACATTTTGGTTATTTATAGTGGGTTTTCTAGCTAGATTTTTTTGTTCTTTACTGAAACTCAAGTTCATATATAGTATGTGCAGCATGAGGCAGTTTCCCTTTTAAATGCATCCAAGGATGTTAGGTTGGACACCCTTGCTTTTAGAGGAAATATCTGCTTCTTGCAATTTGCCTAAAATTAATTTCATTAGATTAGTTGCCTTTGATTGTTACCTGTGCTAGATAAATATTTTACCAGGGATGATTGGGTTCTGAAATCAGTATTTTAAAAAATGATTAATTTCCATTTCTGAAATCCTTTAATATATATGTATATGTAAAACAAGTTTGAATTTCAAATGCAAGATTGCAGTTTGCTGGAATTGCAAGTGGGGATAGGAGAGGGAGTCTTTCACAAAATCTAACATGTTGCTTTCGAAATTTCAATGGCACCTACAATCAACCTTTTCTTTCAAATCGCTAGCAACATGGGGTGATTATTTTCTGTAAATTATCCTGAACATATATTTTAAGTAATTTTGTTTTTTGTTAAAGCGGTGCATTCAGTTTTAAAAAATATTTTGGAACCATATTTGAGGTCCTAGTTTGATAAATAAATTGAAGCCATTATCTAAGATCGGTATTGGAGACCAAATTGTTAATTTTGCAAAATCTGTACCCTGCGCACTTGCAAGAAAGCCATGAGAATATTAAATATGAATTTAAAAAAAAGGGTTACAGTGTATAATCTGCAGTCCGTGTAATCTGACAGTGAATTATTTTGATTTGTATAAAACGACTGCATAAAAAAAAAATTGCGAAGTAAACCAATATTTTGCTTCTGCATAATATGTTTAAAACTGGGAATAAGACGATCTGGTGATTTTTTTTTTTTTCTTTTCAAAACGATTTAAAACTAGAGATTCGAGTAGGTTCCTTAGCAGAGCCTTCATCCAAGCCTTTTAAAAAGTAGGGCATCGGTCATTTTTTTAACAGAGGAACAGTATCCAATTTTTGTTCAAAAACTGCCTCTCAAAGCCAATTATAATATTCACATTATTATTATATTTGTATTATATAATTAATAATATTCACATTTATACGGTGATCGGAGATGCTTAAACATAGCAGCTATTTTTCAGTCCAAGAGCTGGGTAACAAGAGTCTTAATCAGTTCTGATATAGTAACAGAGTGTGACACAAGCAATGACTTACAAGTGATACAAATGAAGGTTATAAGGTCTTGTCTTACCCATCATGAAAATTCCAAGATAAATTAGAATAAAGTTTGATTAAAATAATCATACAAAATAAAATGGCATTAATTTGTACCTACCATATAATGGAATCTTTTCCATACTATAATAGAATAAAGAAGTTAATTAAATTAACAAAAGAATACCAAATATCTTGCAATTTTACACAAAGCATTGTATCCTTGTCTGCTGAGCGAGTTCTTTTATGGACAAAAACAGAAAAAAATATCAAATGAAAGTCTGAAAGACAGTTTCCTTAATTCAGGAGATTTTTGGATTTTACAGGCACGATCTTATTGTCAAATAACTGAATGGTCTTTGTTGATTTCTCATCAAGAATTCAGTCGGCATCACTGCAACGATACCTTGTCGAAAGATCGAGATCTGTCTCAACAAAACAGATGATGAAAATTTCGTCAAAATGAGAAAACCAATTGACCGACGTGGTCACTTATTTAGGAAAAGCGAAGCTGGCTACTATGTCGAATTATCCATGTCGTTTTTAGGACAAATGTATCATTAATTGCAGTTAAATATTAAATTTTATATATGTGCCAGTTATGGTGTTTCTTAATTGGCCATTACATAAAAACACCTGATTATTATTTTGTATGATTTACTTATATTGTAAATTTTACAGTGTAATCAAAATAAATTGTGGCGTGGCAGACTGATCGTGCTCGCTGGACGTGCTGTAGTTTGGAGACCCCTGCTTTAAATAATTCAATGCGTTTTGTAATATACACTCAATAAATTTTGTAAAAGTATCCGACTTCTGTTCGCCGTGTTATAACACGGTTCGAATTATGCGTGCTCACTTCCATACTCCGGTGAACAGCATATTGTGTTTGCGACTTCGAAGAAATAGTATGTATCGGCAAACCGCAAAATGGTGAATTTCTTTCTCAATCTATTGTTTTCGAAACAAAAACTTGCCATCAAATGAAGTGCACAATAAGAGGAGTGAGGAGAAAGAAAAATCATGGCGGGTTTACGAACGACACAGGTGTATTAAAATCAGATAGTGAAGTTATTAACTGTTTTATAACCGTGATTGCACACGTCTGAATGAATGTCTGTGACAAGCTGAATTAGAATTTCTAATATATTGCGTGTTTCTTTTTCATGCACTTGCTTTTGGTGGCTAAGCAATCAAACATAGTAATTTGATTGCCACAGAATAGAACCGAAATGTTAAGCTCTTCGATCGCTTTTCAAAGTCATTAATTAAATATTTTTTTGCAAACAATTATGTACTCTCGTCCGTTTTGTTGGACATTTTTGTTCCGAATGGGGACTATGAATCCAGTATTTAACTGATAGTTAACTGTCAAATCGTTTTAAAAGGTTATTTTATGTGAAATTCATATGTAAAGTATATTTTGTATTTATATGAATTGAAATAGTTGGTTTTTATTTATTTTTTCTTTATAGTTAATGCATGCTAAACTCATTGTCCATGATATTGAATTTGGCAAAAATATTGGTTTCTTTCAATTTCTTGGAAGAATAACTGTAGATGGCGATTTATATTTGTGCCGGAGTGTTCTGGAGGATAGTACGTTGGGTCTACGAACCAGATGTTCTTGGTTCGAACCTCGACAAAGGATGCAAACCGAAATCTTTGAAATGGCGGGTATGATGCCAGAATGCCATTAATTTTAGCTGGAGAAGAGGAAGGCTGGTGCAATGAACCTGCTGATGCAATCCTTTAGGAGTGTTCGCTCGAAATTGTGGTGGCCAATGTAGGTGTAGTCTAGCATACACTCTGGGGTAATTCTACATCTCCTCTTTTTTTTTGTGCCAATAGCGTCTGACCAAAGTGATCTGCATTCGAAAACAGCAATTGTTTTGTAATCTCTTTATAAAACTTGGTGTGTAATTTGGATAAAACCAAACATTGTCTTGTATCTCAAAAGGGATATTATTTTAACTACGGAGCTATGGATCTTGTGTAACAATCTTAAATTTATACAATTTCTAAATCCAGAAGTATTAATCTCATCAAAAGAAATTTTTAAAAAAACTTTTTTTAATTCATTGACACTTCTTATTTTCTCTTTTGCCGCACGTCATCTCCGTATTTAGGGTTATGTAGTCCCTTACCGTTCAGAGAGATCGGTGGCTTCATGTATCTCACGAACAGCTCATCAAAGGATGTTGAAGAAAAGACAATGCCTTCCGTGAGGACGTTTAGGGCTATCACATGGGAGAAAACATGGAAAACTTCCACCAGGGAGCCTAGTTATCGATACGAGATGCTTTATACACAATCACCATCGAGTGACTACAACAATACGTCTGCAGAATGGAACCTCAACCTTCCTGCACACTATCTGTGTACGTTGCCACTGAGTTACGAGGTGTACTGTCGTTTGAAAGAGTGCTGAGGTTCACTTCGCTGAAGGCATTGTAGCAGTAAATGCAATCAGGAAC